AGAAAAAAAATAAAACAAAAAAAAAAATAAAAAAAAAAACAAACAATTATATTAAAAAAAAACATCCAAAAAAAAAAAAAAAAAACAAAAAAAGCTAAAAAAAAAACAAAAAAAAAAAAAAAAAAAAAAAGAAAAAAAAAAAAAAAACAAACAGAAAAGACAAGGAAAGAAACGACCATTAAAGGGAGTTATATTTAGCAGCACAATTAGCCAAGTAATGTTTCCTTGTCTAGAAATGCTGACACAAATACCGATACTGCTGTATAGAAAGGTAAAACTATTTTCATAATCAGCCTTTCAGGAATTAGGCAAGAATTTTAAGTCTGGTGTTAATATTAATTTATCTCCAGACCACATAGCAAACCCTAGCTTGTGATTGTGTTCAAAGAGAGGCTTGAATAAAGCACTACTAGGATTCAATGTGTGACTGGTAACATGACAATCAAACTGACACTGCAAGCTGTGACTCCTTGCTACAAACTGTACCTGTCTAAACTAGAGTAAAACCATTCAAAGTAGCACCATCTGGCTGCCTTGGGTAATTTCAGAAGGTTTTGTAGTTTAGCAAATGAAGCCTAAGAAAAAAAAAATTATATGAAAGTTTGTTATTTAATCAATGGCTATGTAACTCAGACATCTACATGTAGAGTAAAATAACAAAAGAACTTAATAAGGCTGATGTAAATGTCAATGAATCAAACATACATAATTTATACGTAATTCTATACATAAACTTTTCAAGGGTGCACAAGGGTAGTTTGATTCTTGTTCTGGGCTCCAAATGGACTCCACAAATTACTAGAAGTGCATTTCGAATTTCCCTTCAACCTTATTGATAAATCAGCGATGGCTTTTTTAACAGGCCAATCATGGCGTGTACTCAAATCCTGGTACACAGGTAGGGATCCTCAACAAGGATTTTGGCGCTTTTTCTCAGATGAACTTAACCAGAGTTTAGTTTCGTCTGTGACAAGGGCAGTCCACGAATTAAACATCTGAGATAAAGTTTCCTATTATCATATCACTGAAAAGGTCCAACAGTTGCAAATTGGATGGACACCACCCTCGCCATAGAACTGAGGAAGGTAGCAACTGATTTTGCTATCTGACGAATTCATTACCTCCTAGTTATCTAGACCATTTGCGAAACATTAGTTTCTGTTTTAAACCATCAAATAGTACAATATGTTAATCACCCCAGAAAAAAATCGTCTTGTATGTTTTTCCAGGGACAAGTTTTCAAGGCAGCAAGCGTTTTATGTCGGTACTTAAGTCGAACATGGAGGATTTGACAAGTAGCGAAACCGGTGTAAAGCCAGAGGTCTACATGTATCACTGACAAACATCGCCATGATCCACACATTTCTAGAAGAGTTGTTCCCCATAAATAATTTTTTTTGGCTGTCCCGAATACAACGGAAGGAAACTAAGCTTTCTTTGTAGCACTTTATGGCTGTTTACAAAAGCTACACATGTATGTAATACACAAAGCAATAGTTCTGTGATTAATAACATAAAATAAAAATACCTTGGCAAGCTTCTTGTCTGTGTTTCCATTTCCAATTAAGTTTGCAGCCTAGGTTTATTAAGGACAAAGAATATTTACATGTCTGTTTTCCAATGGTCAATTACATCTATGTCTTATAATTGTTAAAATTAAGAAAAATACGTTCAAGAATAGAAAAGATCTGTGCTTTTAATAAGCATCCCCAGCAGGGTCTTTTAATAACCCAGTCATACTGAACAAATTTTTACCTCAATCCGGTATATACTGATGGATTTTATTGGCCTATCCTGATCCAAAACATGACGGTGAAAAAAGCCTTACAAAGTTAGATAGTAAGACATTTGACGTAATCAAAGAAAAATGTGGCAAACTTTAGTTAAAACAAAATGAGGGAATGTTTCAACATTTCACAAAAAAATAGTCGTAGGCATATGGGAGGTGTGAGCTGACAAGAGGCATCTGTCAACAGAGGTTTGACTATAGATTATAATATGGTGGTTAGCTTCTTTTCATCAAATTTGAGATGACAAAAATAATCAAATGAAGAATGATCCTCACAGTTATGAACGCAATTTATGCAATTGCGTAAGAAGCCTGAAAAAAATTCAGGACTTTGATGGGATTTGAACCCTTGACCTCGCGATACCGGTGCAACGCTCTAACCAACTAAGCTATGAAGCCACTGATGTTATGAGCTGGTCAATTATGTGTTCATAAATTGCGTTCACAACTGCAAGGATCATTCTTCATTTGATTCCATTTCCGTAGTTCTAATAGTTTTATACGATTTATTTCATATACATTCGTCAGACAAAAATAATGGGATAACAAACTCGAAAGAAGACACTAGTAGTCTCCTCACTACATTAAAAACTCAAGTTGATGGTCAAGGTGACAAAAACAATGAACACAATGGTATGAAAAATACATGTCTGTTTCTTTTTTTTTTACTTTTGTTGCCTCTGGGCCTCACTGCCATGTAATGAAATGCTAATAACTTTAAAAGAGCCTATTAATACAAATTAATTTCACAAAATCAAAAGGTTAACACTGAGTTTCCTACCATAGATACTGTTCTCAAGCTTCCCATCCTCCTGAGAAACAAAAGACGGAAACCAGTTGTTTAAAGAACGAACATCACAAAAGTTACTGTGTCTAAACTCAGGCAAACTAAAAGGAGGTTTTTGGGACTTTTAAGCTATTCATGGATATCTGGCCATTTGTGAATGCATGAATTAATTTGGAAGCCAGGCATCACGTAAGAAATACAGTTGGAGAACTACTTTGACACATTTGTAAACTGTCACAGTCTTTAACAAGGAAACAGTGGGCTTTTTACCTGAGAAGTACTATATTTCAATGTCCCTGAGGAAAGTGTAACGTTAATATTATTTGCTCTCTAAAGGAGGCTTGATGTTGATTTTTTTTAAAAAAGATTTATGAAAATCTAGAGACTTCTTTTAAACTGTTCCTGCAGCAGAATCCTTACTTCTACGTGAGCCTTTAGGTGTTAATGTTCAGCGTAGATGTCAGTACCTGATCATGTCTCACATTGGCTAGAATAAAAAATTAAAACCAAGCCTGGAGTGCTCAGGAGAAAAAGAGGCTGAGGTTTTGTCCCAAAAAGCTGATATTATTACTTGGGCGGAGGGCTAAGTAACGGATTCTCGACGCTCGACGCTTTTTTGGAGACAAGATTGGGCACGCAAAGTCCATAGGTTTTCAGTTTGAGCTTGCTGTTTGACGAAGTCAGACCCGTATGAGTTCAAGATATCTTGAGATCACTTTGAGTTCTTTTATTTATTCTTTATCTATATGAGGGAGAAAGAATTATTATTTTGGCTTGCCTGGGGTTTGAACCGACTCACCTGTGTGACCCATCAGATCAGAGGAGACTCATACAATGAGGGATTAGCTGATTGCGCCACTAGCTATGAATTAAGGTAGTTTGGAATGTGAAAAATAGCCATAAAATTATGTACTAGTTTCAGGAAAGGATTGGGCATGCAGGTTCGTGACTTTTCGGCTTGTTTCAGCTATTTCACGAAGTGAGACCGGAATAACTTCCAGATATCTTGAGATCAAATCGAGTTCTTTCGTTTCACGTGAGGAATAAATAGGATTTGAACCGAACCCATCAGATCAGATGCTAAGTTGACAGATTTGCCAATTGTGCCACCGAGACCAAATGTAGTCGATCGTGTGAAAATTAGGCTATAATATCGTAACCTGTGGGTTTCGAGCAGAAAATGAAAGAAAAGAGACAAAAATAATTGTTTGGTTCAATTGAAAATGATTGGAACGATAAAATAATTGAAAAGGAGCAAGTGGTGAAAATTACTTGGTTTTCCTCTATCTTAACTTCTGGTTTTATTAGCTTAACGATGGTCACAGTTTCTTCAGTTTCTTCAGTTTTCTTTCAGTTTCTTCAGTTTCATCACCTTTCATCAAAAGTTCTTCGCCTCTTCTACAGCTACATCCTCGTCTTCCTTTATCCTGTCCCAGCAGGATCTGGCCCCTGCTTTTTCTCAAGTGTTGGGCAAGTGAGTATTCTGTTGGCGATGCAGAACCATTCTACAACAATGGCATTAGCTTCGGCGACATCTTCATTGGCGGGAAATGTTACACCGTTGTCAACGTCTTCTAATACTGCTTCAACTTCGTCTCAATCATCCTCCTCTGCCTGCCATTCATCAGGTAACATCCTCAGCGTAACTTCTTTTATTTCTACATATTGTAACCTAGGAAATTTGTCTTTATGCAACCCCTCTATAGTGGGGGCACCATCTTCGTGTGCTGCTGGCGGTGCCACGAGTGGACCACTGGCTATTCCCGGCAGGCATGGCTCATCTTTGCCACTTTTAGGGTCTTCCATCCCAGCTACTTCTACTATTTGTGCAATGCTATCACTAAATAGGCCATTTGTTGTGGGTCCTGGATACTCACCTATCCCGTTGGTGATGAAGATCTGAACTGGCCCGTTTGTTGATCTGGCTGACTTGTTGGCAGACAATCTTAACGCTCAGGAGTCAGAACCCTACACTTATTTGGATGGCAAACTTCTGGTCTCATCTTCTAAGAAGAGGGTCCAGGAGATTGCAAACATCATTACTTTCACCATTATTCTCTTGGATCTTTTGCAGTGCACACCCTTCCAGGTGGCACAATCTCACTCAATGCAAGCTGCTAATTATCAAGACCTCCCGCCCATTCCCTGGGAAAGCCTGGCTCCACTATGACATTGCCTTTCAGAGGGATGCAGCAGCATCTGGTCTGACAGATTGGTCCCGCATGAATCTGGATCTTTACAGTTTTCTTACTCGCACTTAACCATTTCAGTCATGTTCCTCCTAAAATGGCTCCCCACAGGCCTCTTGTTCCTCTGCCCTGTCATCCAATTTCTGCCATGCATGAAATGATGGTTCCTGCCAATGGCCCTTTGGTCAGTGCCACTAGTGTGAAGGTGACCACCCCTGTGTCAACTGTGGGGGCGTTCTTTTCAGGTGTCCAGGTCACATATCCAGCATGTCCGCTTGGCAACCCCAACTCAGAGTAAGCACGAGCGGCATTAACATGGTCGCCAACCCTCATAGTGGTTCTTGTCAAAAGGACCTTGTACATAGTGTAAATACGTTATGTTCTGTTCAATCTGAAGACAGTTTGTTCACCGTTTCCGATAACACATCTCTTTCTGTTACTAATTTACCTGCCACGTGCCAGTTCACGTCTGTACATAGTGTAAATATGTCACATTCAGTTCAGGCCTCAAATGATTTGTTAGCGATTTCGGCGAATGCTCCCCTTTCGACTGAAGAATTACCTGCCAAATGCCAGGTGATGTCAGCCCATCCTCCTGGCTTCAAGTTGTCCTCCTTCCCACGTTCTGTGCGTGAAGAACTGGTCCCTTCATCCAGGGTTACCCCAATAAACGCCTACAAACTTCAGCATGAGTTATGCCTTCACCCCAATCAAGCATTACTGGACTATGTAATTTCTGCTCTTAGCTTTGGTTTTCGTCTTGGTTTCAGCCCAGAGTCCGTCTCCTTAAAATTGGCAAGTCAAAAGATGCCTACGGTGTGTTTTCAGCCTTCGGTAATTGACCTCTATCTCATCACAGAACTTGAGAAAGGTCGTTTTGCTGTCCCCTTCTCAACCTCTCCTTTATTACACCTTCAGATCAGTCTCTTCGGAATAACTCTGAAGAAAATTAATACTAGCCCGGCAAATAGCGGCCTATTTTGAACTCGTCTAGTCCCCAAGGTCACAGTGTTAATGACAGGATTCCAAAAGACCAATTTTTAGTTCAGTAAATGAAGGTTGACAATATCATTGATGGCATCATGATCCATGGTCGGGGAACTCTTTTGGCTAAATTTGATGTACAAAGTGCATATCGCATCATTCCTGTGTATTCTCATGACTGTTACCTGTTAGGCATAAAATCGCAGGGGAAATACTTCATTGATTTGGCCGTACCCTTTGGTTTACGCTCGGCTCCTTTTATGTTCTCTTCCTTTGCTGACCAGCTTGAGTGGATTCTAAAACACAATTATGAAGTACAATTTCTATTACATTACTTGGATGACTTCCATACCTTGGGCCCTCCTGACTCTCCTGTTTGGCAACAAAACCTGGATATCTGTGTTCTTCACTTTTCAGAGAGTGGTATTCCCCTCCACGCTGATAAGCTTATGGGCCCTTCCATGTGTCTGACTGTCCTAGGCATTGAGTTGAACTCGCTGACGTTTCGGGCTCGCCTCTCTCAGGAGAAGTTTGACCATATTGCTGCTCTTTTGGACAACTGATCTTCCAAACAGCACTGTACAAGCAAGGAACTGGAATCTTTAATTGGGCATCTATGAAAACATGCTTGTAAAGTGATTCCCCCAGGACGGACTTTTCTGCGTCAAATGATTTATTTGTTGTCCGTCTTTTGACGGGATGATCACCCGATCAGGCTGAACAGCGACTTTCGTTTCAACCTTACCTGGTGGAGAGAAGTTTTCCATTACTGGGACAGTTTCAGTTTCCTACTTTCATCACAGTGGGCACCTCTACCTGACTTTCACTTCTCTTCAGTTGCTGTTGGTGCAGGGGGTTATGGGGCCATTTTTAATGAAGCGGTTTGTTGGCGAATGGTCCTCTGCTCAACAACCTTTATTCATTGCATACAAGGAATTATTCCCGGTGGTAGTGGCAGCTTATTTGTGGGGCCATGTCTGGGTCTAAAAACGCATTGAATTTCGTTCCCACAATATGGCTGTGGTCAGTGTCTTGTGCTCGGGGACGTCCAGGGATCCTAACATGATGGTTCTTCTTTGTCACCTGTTGCTTATGGCTGCTTGTCAGTCCTTTGTTTTTACTGCCTGTCAAACAGCCGGGAGGGACAATACCATTGCTGACTCGTTATCCCATTATGATTTTCACAGGCTGCCCCTGGGGCAACTCCAGCACCTCCATCACTGCTGGCCCAGCTTCCCATGGTTTGACGGAAAAATGCCAATTTACTTGGCAAATGGCCGATCACAAGCACAACGGACCGCTGAAGTATCAGTTTCCTCCTCTGATAATATCGAAACCCACCAACTATGAGCGAGGTTCGTGATAAACCAATCACTAACAAACACGGTGGTAAACATAGTCCGACTCAGTAAATTGACATTATCGCTTGGTGGAGAATTGCAGTGTGCGGTTGAAATTCCGTGATCAATAAAGTGACAAACGTAAGACAAACGATAAACTAAACCCTTTAACCCATTTCGAATTCGCATATTATCTTTCTTTCTTATTCATTTGGAATTGAAACAACGGATATGTTCAAACTCTACCCATAGTTCCTCGAAAACCATACCCGACTTCAGACCGAAATTGAAGTGTACTTTCAGTATAGCATACATGAAACATCTGGGGTACAAAGGTTGATGGGATTAATTACAGATTACATCTGGAGTGTTCCCTCTCTAGACTTAACAAGACACTATCGGAGCATACACTTGGGCATTGGTATATCACGCATACATGTATGTCAGGATTTTTTGAGTCAAGCATGCGTGAGTGCCGCAATGCTGTTAACTGTTAAGTATTGGTTGAAAAGGGTGAAAAAGGGGATGTGGATGAATTTTTCCTTGGAATTAATAATGTAAACTGGCTCACCAAATACCAAACACACACTATTACCTTTAATTGTTATGGACTGAGAGCAATCTTTCCATGGCCATTTCCAGTAGCAAGCGAACGAGTGAGTGAGCAGCTAAGCCGTGAGGGGCCGAGGAAATAGGGAGCTCTCACTCTCTTTTCCCGCACCTTCCTCTCATGTCTTGTTTCGCTTGCCACTCGCACGTGACTTCTCTCAGAGAGATTGCTCGAAGGCTGTTACGGCTTTCAATTTGTGAGAGATGGTTGCATCGTCATCATAATAGCTCACTCAATTCCAAGTGTACCTGTACCCCCAAAAGCATTGTGAAGTGCTGACATCTCCTATGGCTTTCGACATCTGAGCAAAAGCGGACAAAATTGCTCAAACACTCGTCTTTAGCAAAACCCGTCAATTCCAATCACTTTTTGCAAGATATATGTCCAATATTATTATAGGAAGAAGTCGCTCTGTCTCTAGGTAAAAAAAAATCTTCTTCCAAACTGAAGAGTATCCCGTGTTGTTGAAAATGCTTCGCCATAATTTCTTATACTGTTAAACATGGTCGAGACGAGATCTCAATACTCATGAGGCTACTGGTGGCGAGTAACAATATAAACGATGAAAAAAGAGTCCTCTACTCTTTCTTTACATCAGGCTTCAAAAAGATTATAGTAGTCTCATGTACTGATTAAAGTTGTGTAAGGCATGGGTAAGGAGCATGAAATAGGCTAAATGTTTTTGTTTGATGTTGGGGTAAAAGTAAATATTGATAGGTAAACTCAACAAAGACAAAACGACTTTGTGTAGCATTTTGTAACTTTAAATTCATCGTAAAACAGTTCGAAAACAGCAACAATTTATAGACAAATTGAATTCTGCAGGGCTGATCGTAGTAGTCTACGTGAAAATTATCTTTCCAAGACATCAACACAACACATAGATCCCAAAACAGAGCAGGGTTGTAGCTGTCAACAGCTGTGTTAGTGAGAGGAAAAACCTGCAAGACATGGGCTGGTGCTGATCATTTTGCTTTGCAATGCAGAACCAAGACAGGCAAACCAAGAACCAATAAGAAGCTAAAAGAGGTAGATGAAGTGAGATACATGCAGGGAGGAGACCATGACGAGCATGTGTTCACTGTAAAATCAGTGACACAGCCTAAAAAAGTGGAGGTGATTGTGGGTGGATGTCTTGTGAAAATATTAATGGTGATTGATTCAGGGGAAAGCACTTATGTTGTATACAAACCCTATGGAGTGAGCTAAAGTGGCAGAAGATTGCCTGTGTATCCAAGAAGTGTGACAAGAGGCTTTATGCATACGGAAACAAGGAGCCGCTAAATAAAATGTGGGGACATTTTCAGCATCGACAAAAGTAGCTGAGAATGCAGTTCAAGCTGAATTTGTTGTCATTGATGGTGAAGTACTGCCTGGAAGAGAAACTGCACTGCAACTAGGAGTGTTGAAGTGAGGTGTTCCAGTTTATGTGCTGCAGTACAAAGAGGAGATCATGTCAGAATACAAAGAAGTGTTTGATGGTGTAGGCAAGCTAAAAGACTATCAGGTCAAGTTAAATGTGAATCCCAATGTATCCCTGGTGGCTCAGCCAATCAGGCGCTTTCTGTTCAGCCTCTGTGACAACGTGAAGAAAAAGGTTGCGGAACTTGTATGGATGAGCCAGTAAAGGGCCTGACACCATGGGTTAGTCCAGTGGTGGTGGTGCCAAAATAGAATGATGAAATTCGGCTTTGTGTGGACATGCGTAGAGTCAATGTAATAATAATCAGAGAATGCTACCCCATAGCTACCATGGATGACGTAATCCAAAGCCTCATTTAGCAAGCTTGATTTAAAGTCAGGTTACCATCAGCTAGAACTCCATCCAGATTCCTACAGCATTACTACCTTCATCATTCAGTATGGACTGTTTCAATATAAGCATCTGTAATTGAACAAGTTCAGCCCCAGAAGTGTATCAGCACGTTATTCAGCAAGCGCTTAGTGACTGTGAAGGAGTTAGAAACATCTCCAATGGCATAATTGTGCATGGGTAAACCACTGAGGAGCATGATGAGAGTTCAAAGCGACTTTTGGAAAAAAATAAAACAAAAACCTGGCACTAAATGCAGAAAAGTGCAAGTTTCACATGACTAAGCTAATGTTTATGGGGCTGATACTAACAAACAAGGGCATTGGACCAACTGAAGAGAAGGGAAAGCTGTTGTTAAGGCAAGAGAGCCAAAGAATGCCTTGGAAGTTAAAAGCTTCGTAGGACTAGCTAACTACAATGTAAAGTTTATCCCAGAGTTTGCCACAGTAGCTGAACCTCTTTGCAACTTATCAAAGAAAGGGGTGTGTTTCAGGTTTGGAGATGAGCAGAGAAGAGCATTCAATGAGCTGAAGAGCAGATTAGCAAGTGCAGAAACCCTTGGATATTTTGACAAAGACGCCCGAACACTAAAAATAGCAGATCTGATGCATGCCCAGTTGGTCTTGGCGCTGTACTTATTCAAGAACAACAGGGAAGTAAGAGAGTTATCAGTTATGCAAGCAAAAATTTGAGTGAAATGGAAAAACAGAATTCTCAAACTGAGAAAGAAGCATTGGCAGTTGTTTGGGTGTGCCATCTATTGTTTCTATGTGTACCCATAAAGCACTGAATTTGAACTATACACAGATCACAAGCCATAAGAGACTATATACTCAAGAATTTAGCGATGGATCCTGAGGCTACAACCTTAAAGGTTAGAAGTTAAGTACTTGCCAGGAGAGCATAACATTGTAGATTCCTTATCACGCTTACTGCATGCAGAAAACCAAGCAGGTCCTTTGGCAGTGCACAAAGCATCAGATGAATTTGTCAGATTTGTGGCAGTAACCGCTACTCCGGGCGATGATGACACGCGAGATTGAAGAACTGTCAGCAGAAGATAAAAGAATTCAGTGAGCTGCATCAATGTATAAAGAGCAGAACCTGGAGGGATGGTCAGCTCAAGCAGTACATAATATGTACCCAATGAACTGCGTGTGATTGGCAAGCTAAACCCCCATGGCACCAGAATTGTAATACCTAGCAAGTTGAGACCATGAGTCCTTACACTGGCACATGAAGGGCATGTGTATGGGTATGGTGGCCCGGGATTGACAAAGAGACAGAAGGACTTTCGCAAAACGTATTTGGGATAACAGCTAGTAAGCAGTCCTGCCCATCCTGAGCCAATCAAGTCAACCCCCTTAACACAAGGTCCACGGCAAGACTTGGCCCTGGATTTATTGGGTCCTTTACTGTCAGATGACTCTGTGTTAGTCATAATTGACTACTTCAGCAGATATTATGAAATTGAGATCATGTGTTCCACAACATCTGCGGAGATCATTAAGAGTCTGGAGAGAATCTTCATGATTCATGGTTTACCACTATCAGTAACCAGTGACAATGGGCCATTTGAAAGATATTTGGAAGGCTGTGGTATCGAACATACGAAAACCGTACCATTATTGCCCCAAGCAAACGGTGAAGTGGAAAGGCAGAACCAACTCTTTTGAAAAGGTTGCAGATTGCGCAAGTCAAGGGGAAACCGTGGAAGAAAGAAGTTTGCAAATACTTGATAGCATACAGATTGACTCCTCACACCACCACCGAAGTGTCTGAGTCCAAAGGTGATGTTAGCACTTGACAAAATGCTTTTGGGGGTGTGGGTACGCTTGGCATTGAGTGAGCCATTGTGATGACGATGCAACCATCTCTAACAAAAATGAAAACCCTAACAGCCTGCAAGCAAGCTCTCTGAGACAAGTCACAAGCAAACAAGATGCGGGAGCAAGGTGCAGGGAAAGAAAGTGAGAGCTCTTTGTGTCCCCCACCACCCACAGCTTCACTGCTCACTCGCATGTTTGCTTGCCACTTGAAATGGAGAGGCTGCTCTGAGTTCATAACATTTCTTGGTAATCGTGCATGTTTAGTATTCAGTGAGCCAGCTTACTTTAGGAATTCCGAGAAAAATTTTGTCCACGTCTCCTTTTTCACCCAATTCAATCAACACTTAACAATTAACAACATTGCGGCACTCACATGTGCCCAACTCAAAGAATCCTGACATAAGTGTGATATAAGGACGCCCAAGTGTATGCTCCAATAG